TCATTCTCTTCTTCAGCAGCATCCCACCATACTCTCTTTAGGCAGAAAGTGCAGCTTACTTCCAGGCGAGTATAAGAGTGCAGGGTCACTCTGGATGATAGGGTGGTCACTGATGAATTGGTCCGCCAAACGGAAATGCTTCATCCCGCAAAAAAGAACACAGTCATTTGCATAAAATTTACATGTATTAATTTATACACAGATGCAAATTTAAAAACCATTGCTATAATTCCAATAGAAATATAATACATCTCACTTCAGAAATGTTGATGAAGTTTGCTGTTTATTTAGCCTGCTGTGCAAGCTACTAACCGTTATTGCAATAGGTACCATGCATCTTTATCTTTGAACCAGAACTGGACAAATAGCAGATGACTTCAAACAGAGGATAGCCCAGTGGTAGCCCTTCAAATAGAAGACTATCTTCTGTAAAAGGAAAACAGCCATCTGACTGGCTGCTAATAATAGCAGCAGTATAAACATATTTTAAAATGTTACAGACAAAACACTTCCCTATTACCAAAATGGTACATGAAAAGTAATACTCTTTGCTCTTCTACTAAACATGTGCTTTTGTTCTAGCTAACTGATAAAAAACCTTGAATCGTGATATGAGGTCAAACACTGAGGTCAAAGCTGTCCATGCTTATTTAACGCCAACTGTATGCAGAGGGGGAAAGTATGTATTGTAATTGTATTATAGACAGAGTGTGTTATAATGGATTTGGGTGAGTAGGTAGGTGCTCTAAATCAAAGGAGGGTGGTATTTAGTTTTTAGGAATTCAGATGAATTAACAAATGTGGTTTATTCCACAGTATCTTGTCAGCCTATGGGTATTCAGCTGCAACTATACAAACATGGTACAGGTAAGTTTGTGCAAGAAACGCAGGCCTGTATTCATGATTGTGCCAATCTGTCTGCAGGCAATCAACCCTCTCAATTGCCTTTTGAGATGTAATGCTTTTCCATTCCTGAAAACTGACCTGGCACAATTCTTGGTATATCTATGGGAATCAAGTAGTTCCTTTTTCCATTGATTTTTATTTCCCAGTGGCACCCCTAAATTCCTATAACCTTAACATGTTTCAGCCACTCTGATTAAACCTGGATAAACCTTCTTTTAAAAGAAGTGCTGGGGGTGGGGGGCGGGAATCAAGACTTCATTCTCCCAGTATTTCTCAGGTGCAAATGTATTTTAATGTAATGCATAGTACTCAAATGACACAATGCAAAAGGCCTAAAAGGTGGCATAGTGTAACTATATTTCACTCTGTGACCTTTGCTTGTTTCTGACAGCTGAACATAAAAGACTAAATGTGTGTAGGCAAACTTCAGCCTGAAAAGGCATTATGAAGGAATTCTTGTCTTTAGCAGTGGCGCTATTACTTTTGTGTTAGTAATGTTCAAAGCGCACAATAAAATAAAATACCAAAGAGAATGGTGTATTCGCTTAGCCATCATCTCCATGAGCTGGCTGATTTCCTTAGGTTAATCTGGTAAAAATGTTTTGAAAGTTCGTTGGTGCTGTAAAACATAAAAAAGGTATAACATCCTGGCAAAATTCTAGAAAATGTCTAGCATTCAGGAAAGGCCATGGATACATATATGCCTCTCCCAGAATGAAAGGGCTCTTTGAGTTTGTGGAGTTAAGTGGACCTGATTGAAGGAATGGGGTGTAGACTTTCCCCAATATCTCCTTCTCCAATTACATAGCCTTCCTTGCCACCTCTCATGCTGTTACAGATGGTCCTGCAACCTTCAGGAAGCTTTTCAGAAAGCAGGGATCAGTCAAAATTGCTCTCCTGACCTCTTTTTCGAGTACTAATTGAACACCTTCCAGTGCAAGTTTTGATCAAACCTTTTGTTATGTAAATGCTTTCACAATACTTGATCTGCTCAGGGTGACTTTTCTCATAATTTCTTTTAATGGTTGCTTGGAATGGCCCTTTAATAGTACTTAACTTCTAATACTTACAAAACGTTCAACCCTGGCAATTAGCAACATCAAATGTTGAATGGTTCAGTGAATCTTAGCACCAAGGGATGATCAGAAGTCCACTTAGTTTTGCATTGGATTGTGGACTTGGTTTAAAATAAGTGTTGTGTTCATAAGAATAACCCTCACACTCAGCTTTGCATGCAAATTTCACAGAATCAGAACAACTTTCCCACCCACCTCCTTCCCGAATAAAAAAGGATGGAACCCAAGAACTAGGGCATTTTTTCTTTTATTGTGTGTTCTAACAGAAATTTAGTCAAACATTGAGTACGTGAACATATGACAGTTCCTTTACTGTTTCTCACACAGAGCTGTTTATAGAAGAGGAATACTTGGGTGGAATGTTTCTAAAGCCAGAAATGGCTGTTTCCTTTTGTTTTGTATCTCTGTCTCTCACACTCTTTCTTTCTTGCTTTCTCTCTCATTTGTTTTTATTTAATAATATGACAAAGCATTATAAGAAAATCTTTTCTTTAAGTGGAGTGAGTATCAAATGTATCCATCAATCCCTGAATCATGCTATTCAAAGTGCTTAAATCTACATTAAAAATAGGAAAAAAATAACATTAAAAACAGAAAAAATATTCTGGTGGGACTTTAAAAAACAAAAACAAATGGAAAGAAACCAATCTTACTAAAACCTACAGTGTGACTGCAATTAGATTGCAATTATTTACGCTTATTTCACAACCCAGAGTTATGTTTAAAAATATAAAAGGCCATTGCATTAATCTGCCTTTTGTTGGCTATTTGGAGGGTGGGGAAGGTCTGAGATTTGGAATCCTGCCAAATGCCATTAAATTCCTTGAATATCCAGTAGGTGTCTATAATAAATAATAAACATCTTACATTTTCAAAGGACAAACTGTGCACAGCTGCATCCTCTCTATCCCGGCAGCTTTATTTGCTAGATGTGGCTTTTTTTGGCACATGCCCAACTTATTGGAAATGTGGGGAGAGGAAGGTGAACACACTAACAAAATACAGATTATTAGAAAAGGACCTGAGTGAACTTTCACAGAAATGAATATTTTTAGGCAAAGAGATGCCAGTGAATATCCTAGAGCTCTCCAAATGTGGCTTGCAGGTGTTCTTTTTTTTTTACCAGTTACAGCATGAAACTGGTTATTTCTCACATGCAGTTGAAACCCACAAACACCCCTTGGTTGCATGTTACACATTTTTTCACCACATTGCATCTTACCTAAGCCAAAGTACAATTTTGCTTTTAAAAATATGATAAACAAAACATACAACATGCATTATAGTGGCCATGACTGGTCAGTTGATTTAGAAACTACCTCTGACTGATGAGAAATTCAGTAGTTTCATACAGTTGTTGCAGCAGGTCAATTGTTGCATTTTAAGTGCAGAACAAAGAAAAAGATTACATTCTCTTCTGATCAGTATTCCACTGCATTGGTTTACACTATTAGAAACGTGCTCCCAATATTCTAGTGTTATATTAATGAAAATATTCTACTGTTCTTCCCCAGCTGTTCCTATATGAAAAGTGAATGTTGCATCAGTATGTATATATATAGCAATGCAGATTGTGTTATCATCGGGGTAATGAACAGTTAAATTCTGGCTCTGCTAATGTCTATGACAAACTCTTGTTGAATTCCATATAGGCAAAATTCAGTCCTGAGTTTATGCAAAGAATATTTCCAGTAGCCAAGATGCATGCTCTTTCCTTAACTTCTTAAAGATGAAATCATACATTTAAAATAAAACTAGTTTATTTTATTCAGTAACATTAATTGTTTCCAACATTTCTGGGTCTGATTTAAATAGTAATCTTGTATAAAATATTAATGTTTGTTGGTATTTACTTTTGCAACCTCCTGAGATCTCCTTTAAACAACCTTGAGATTAAAGGAAAAAAGCTCCTAAATTATTATTACAAGCTTTAAAAAGAGAGAGAGAGAGGTAAGAATGAATAATAAAGAATGCTAAGTTCTGAATGTATCACTGAAAAGAAATAGCAATGACCAAACTTTAATATAAATGGGGACTCCAAAACAGGCTGCAAATGAATATTTTCATACCTCTTAAAAGACAGCATTTTTTGTAATACAATGTGACAAACCATATTAGATATTGTCCTTCTGCTCTCCTTTGGTATGGAAGCCATCACGGTAAATCTCTGTGGGATTTAGTGCACTTCAGTGCCTATTGCCTTACTTGCCTGACAAATGTAAATAATCTCATTTGAAGAATCGAAAGCAAGAAAAGAAACCACTTATCTCAACCCAATAATAATAATAATAATAATAATAATAATAATAATAATAAAACAACTGGGGGAGGTGAGGGAAGTCACAAACACATCCAACACTTTCTCAGGAAGTGAATGAATTAGAGTTGGTATGTTATCGCTATATAAAAGGAATACAATCAACTCATAAAATAAAACAGAAAACCCTATATTTCTTTCTACATAATCCATAGTGGTCATAGTGGTTATTGTGAAGCAAGTGATACAGACTGGGTTGTTTGTTTGTTCCACAACTATTTACTATGTGAAATGTTAGACAATTAGACCATCTTAATTTCACTCAGTGTGGTGTTGTAAAAAGGAGAGGTAAGGGAACAGAGTATGACAGTGGAGGAAGAAATGAAGAAAGGGCTATGAGTAATCAGTGGGGCCCTCCTAAGAACAAGTGTTCACGCACACGCACACACACTGGTGCTTTGCTGCAAGCATGGCCTCTGGGTATCAAGCTAGGCAGGCCAACAAAATGGATAGTGCTTCTGGATTCAACAGAGCTTTGTCCAAGCATTCCCAAGAAATGTTAAAAAAATAACACTCAAACTATACTAATGAAGCAAAAAGGTTTTCCTATCTATACAGCAGTCTCTTCATTTCTCTTTTTTAAAAAATGTAAATATACAAATCCAATGACATATAAAACAAAGTCAAAATGTGAATGGCAAGAGACATGGGTAAAACAGGAAGACTGATGCTACAAAGAAATTTGCAAAAACATATGTACAAGACCCTGTTTTTCCTCATATTTCGGAGATTGTAATGCATGTTTAACAGCAGCAGTCGAGGATGTAGTTCCAGGCACCAGACTGCAGGCTTCGCTTCTACACAAGGGGGCGGAATTCCCCCTTGCATGCATGTATGTCACCAAATGACACTCGACACACTGGTTTCCCGCGGAAGGAGTGGCAGTATCGCACTGTTTGTATGAGCCTCGTCAGGATTTTGCTCCCTGTTAGTTTTTGTCTGCGGCCTCTGCCCATTAATAAGTGTCATAGGGATGTTGCAGTAGGTATGTTGGTTACCTATTGAGGTAAGAGGCAGGGTGCCAGTAGGAGGTACGTCGTATTCATAGCTTCGATAATAGTGTTTCTGGCGCATCTGGGAATGATACGTATTATGAAACGTGGAGCGCAGGTCAGGATGGGCAGTGGCAAGAGCAGTAGAGGTAGCAGCAGCCATAGAAATTGCTGAGACCGTCTGCAGTTCCCCGAAGGGCCCCTGCTCACTGACATCTAACACCTGCTCATGGGTGATGGGTTCTATCCTCTTAAAAGGCATTTCGTACTGTAAACGTTTCCAGAATTTGGAATTCAACTTGTTGCATTTTGGTCCGTGCCATTTAATAACCGTGAGGAGTTTGATGGTGTGTTTCAGGGCCTCCACCTCCTGGTAGTTCATAATGCCCCGGAGTTCACTGCATTCGATCAGTATCACTTTAATTTCACCTGTAACTAACATGTTTCGAAGTCTTGTTTCCAGTTCAAAGATACTCCATCCTCTTCTGACCACATAATTTGGAGTCATAACAATGATCAGCCGCTTGCTTTGGTCTACACATCTTGCCACATCTTCTATGTATGCTGCAAAGCAAAAAGATGACTCAAAATCAGCCAAAACTCATGCTTGTTTTGCAAGATGGTGTGCAAATCTTCCCAAAAGTCTTTTTAAAGATATGCATGAGAGAAATAACTTATGCATTGCACTTATGCGCCACAAGCACATAATTCAATTTAAATTCACCAATATTTACTCACCCAGCTATTTGTGGTAAGAAAGAATGATCTCCAGGAGAATTCTCATTCTTGATGCTAATAGCTGGGAAAGGAAGAGCCCACCCAAAAGCTGTGTTGTGAAAGTTGCCCACAGAAATGTTTCTGTCCCTTTTCCAGGAAGCAAGCAGGGAAGAACCCTTCTGTGTTTCCTTCAGCAACAAGGATCTTTGCACCAAGAAGGGATGCTTTGAAGCCAACATGGGGGGGGGGGGGGGGCTTGCTCCCCTTTCTGCTTCTTGGAAGAGGTAAAAATAGAGATCTATTCTGCAATCATATCCGTCTCCCTTTTCTCAAAAGAACAGCTCCATGCAAGGAGTAACAACCTTGAGCACTGTGCTCCTTTTTTTAGTACAGAGCTAACAAAGGTGATCTCATAACTTTCTCTTTTGGACAGGTTTTCTCCTTGCTTTACACACAAAAAACCCCTCACTTGGAGGCTCCAACAGTGCTCTGTTGTAATTTTTTATGAGACACTTTTTCTCACTTTTTTTTTAAGGTGTCTTTTTATTTTCTTTTTTTACTTGTTTCTGGTAAGGAAAGGACGACGATGTCCTGCCTGAAGGACAAAGCATTTCCAAAGCTGCAAAGGACAATGCCTTGCCAGAAGTTTTGAGAAAGTTGCTCTACCTGAGACTTCTCAGTAAGAGGCTTTCCTTCTCATTATAAGCAAGAAGGTGAAAACCCTGCCTAAACCCGGCACCATTGTTTAATGTGGGGCTGTGCTATGGAAGCTTTGTGCAAGTCAAACATGAATTCTATTCATGCTATTAGCAGAATTCTCTGGAGAAGGACAATAGACCATGGAGTGAGAAGGCAATGTCAGTAGATAATGAAAGCAGGAAGAGGAGATGGGGGACAGAACTGAGAAGTAAGAAAGTTGACGGCAAAATCAAGGCTGGTTAAAATCAAGAGTTTGTTTATGAACACATTATTTTTGCATACTTGAAGTCATACCTTGACATGCAAACTGGATCTACTTTTATGTACACAAGTATGCTATTTAGTAACTTAGGGAGGGCCAACCAAATGTTCCATTTAACACATACAGTGGAATTAAGCATCCTATATGTATTTGCAGGAAAGCACATATAGCCCCAAATCAGTTTGAAATGGTGGCACTTCAATCTGAAGCATGACATTAAGCTTTTGTCAGTTCATTTTGTTCTGAAATTCCATGGCTCCATGTAGGAGAGGTCTAAGTGGCTCTAGTGGAATGAAAGGAGATGTTTGCTTGCTTGCTTGTTAGTTCTTAATAACCTCATAGCTTTGTGATACATGATTAGCAGAATGTGGCCATTAGGTTACATCTGGAAGAGCTTAGTATTGTGCTACCATGCTGCCTCATTCCTGAAGTTTTATGTAGGATCCAGATGACATCTTCCATGTGTAACTGTTTTTCCAGTTTCTTCTGTCTGTGATTTTAAACTCAGAAAAAATAAGGGGGTTAAAAACCAGAAGACAGCAGAGTGCTTCACAATTGGTAGGATCCCTCTATCTGGAAGCATCTTTAATATTATGATTTCCATAAAGGTTATGCTCTGTTTCTGTGCATACTGACTTGGCTTAGAGGCCTACTTCTAGTGCACTCTTTGGGGCAAGATGATGAGACAGCTCAAGTAAGTTGCAATAAAATTTGATTCAATTACCAGTATGAAAAGCTGATGCTAAAAACAATATTTAACAATGTTCATGTATTGAAACAATAGAACTATGAGTAAATTATTTCACATCAATGTTCAGGCACTCTGTTTCATGTGGCATATCTCTCAATGAAATGTATTCCTTTACCTTGCAGGTAGGCTCTTGCATAATTGGCTTCTCTTACATAGATGAAAATCCCCACATATAGAAAGCGATATAGAAGGGACCTGGGTTTAACTTCTATGCATGCTACCTTTGTACATGCAAGGATTTCTTGTATGGGGAAATATGATAGTCTGAAGTGGCATATCTCACACTCCATTTCCATATGCAACGGAGAATGGTATTGCTACCTCATGCTCTATGAAAGTGACAAAATTATCAGTTTACAGAACATGTAGCTATAAAATGAATCAGACATTAAATAATAAAAGTGAAGCCATATATGCTGATGAGTTCACCTGGATCTCTCTCCTCTTATATCTGCAATTTAATACACTCAACAGAGACTAGTGCATGGTTGAAATGTGTCTGGAAAGTCTGTTAATATTATGCACAAACATTCCTGGGATGGCAACCATTCACTGAGAATTTAATGTATATTAACCTGAAGTTGCCAGGCACATTCTGCACTATTCTTGTGTAGTCAGGGCAGGATGGAGCATTGCCTTGTTTCTCACCTAAAGGCACACACACACACAGGCACTGTGTCAGGCTGTTAAGGTGGCTGAAGGTTGGAGATGTTCACCCACATCTCTATCCAGCCCTGCCCTCTTCCAAGGACTTTCAGCTCCATTGTCAGTAGTGCATCCTTGCATGATAATTATATTTACTATCAGGTAAGCAGGTGCAGCCCCAATTTGATTGGGACAGTGGTGCTGTAAGATGGGGAAAGACTTAAACCTTCGCTTACCAATTTTCCCAACATTTCAATCCCCATGAGTGGAGGGCTTCAACAAAAAGTGGGAGGGAGGGAGGGAGGGTGGGAAAAAATCCCATGGACTACACCAAGGGAAAAAAAATCCCTTTGTGTTGGAAGCTTTTGGGGGAAATGAGGGAGAAGGTTTAACCCTTTGTTCCCGAGCACCATATTCTTGATCCAAATCACCCCTACCACATGCCTACACAAAGGAGAATAACATTTTCACTCGCAGCTACAGCATCTGTAATTTGCAGATTGTTTAGTCTGGGCCTATTTTGGATCAGGTGGGAGTCCAGTCAATGACACTGGAGGACTACACAAGCATTTCATTTGCAGGAACAGATTAGCATATTGAGTGCCTTTACCAGCAGACTGAATGTTAGGTAGAGAACAACATTCTGTCCCCTTTCATGGGGATTCTCCTGATACCAGGCAATACATTCATAGTAGGATTGGGTTGCATCACAGAAGTTGTACACTTTATCTCTGTCTTCCCAGTTCCTGTTCCATTTAGAGACTTGGTGTGGAATCTAGATTTCATTATATTTAGAGCAGACCAATTAAAATAACTGTGACTTTAGTTAGTCACTACCAACTTAAGTGATATTAATTCAATTGATTGTTATTCTAAGTATAACCAAAACTCAATCCAACCAAGGAGCACTTTTGAAATGTTTGGTGGAAGTCGTCATTCTGGCTGCTAGTGGCCATTATTTTGCTTACCCAGAAGTTTTTGTTTTTGTTTGAATGAGGGCAAGGACATTGGCCTCATTCCCAGTTAATTAATATAGCAGTATCTAATGGTATCATTCCACAAACTCAAATAGCACCAATGAAGCTCTGACATCTCTTTCTGTGGCACAAGCATGTGAGTATTAAGCACACAGAACTGCTTATGCAACCACTTCTGTAACTATGCTTGCACAAATGTAACTTCCATTGTATTCCACCCCTGCATATAGTTTGGAACCTAATTAGCACAACATCATTTCTGCTAGCAGAATGATACAGATGGATACTACCCAGAATGAGCATACTGCCCAGATACTGCCCATGGATAGTGCCCAGAATCATCTCAAGGCAATCAGAATGACTTGGTCTCACTGCGGGGGAAAATGAAAACAGAGGAAGAGCTAACTCTCAGGCTGAGCAGCATGAAGATGCTAATGTATTGAAAAATGGTGAATTGAAGGCGGCTAGTTTTAGGGCGTATTTTACCTCCCTGCCTTCAGCCTTACCTTTAATGGATATTTTTTAACAATATGATATGACCATGAATAGATGTAGTTAACAACATTGATACTAATAACCATCAGCATGTAATTTCTTTTTCATTTCAGCTTAACATATTAAAATAATATACTCTGAAATTTATATTTTAGAACTGGTAGAATTTCTTCTAACTTTAGTGCAATGAATAATTCAAATAGAAATGCTGTCTATGCACAGGCACCCACAAAATTAGAACTTACTTCCAGTAGGAATCAAATCTCTATCAGGAATGAACAATTTGTAGCCATAATGCTTTTCAAGCATATCTGGTAGGATCTCAAGAGCAAATCGTTCCTCTTCCCCCGTTTCTTGATTCCACTGGTCAGGATCCACTTTGGTGTATGACAGGTATGCATCATAATCTTTGTTATCTGTGGAAAGAAAAGGAGGGGTATGAGAAAAAGAAGAAAGAAAGAAGACAGTTTATCTTTCCATTGCTATTGCCTTTTCACCTAGAATTGGCAAAACCATGCTACATGCCTTTGCCCCCTTACATATTCTGTCCCTTTCCCCTTTCTGCTCTACTTCACCAACTGGCTGTTCTTGTTTCCTCTTCTATATAAACACTTCGAGATGAAGAATAAGAGAGGGAGGCTTACAATAGGTTAGAACCATAGCCTTCTTCCTTTTATTGGCAAAGCTATCATTTATAAGTCAAGTAATCATATTCTTGGAAGAGACTGCATCAGGACCCTTGCCTTGCCATAAGCAAGCCAGCACTTCCTGTAGTAGGAATAGGTTAAACAATTTAGATCGACAAGAATCTGAATTGTAGCATCATTTTCTGTTTTAGTGCTGACCCCACATTTTAAAATTGCTCAAGTAAAACAAGCAACCTCCACACTCCTCCCTAAAATCTTCCAAAATCTTGAAAACTTCCCAGCTTCAGTCTTAGATTTATATACAAAGAGTTGGTTCATTCATTGCAGGAACAGCCAGAATACTCTAGCCACACTTGACATTTCCACTTTTAATTAACAATGTTCTGTCCTTGGATTGCTTCATGATGTGCAAATCCAGAAGCTCTGTGTTGCTGAATGGGTTAAACAACCTAGAGTTAACCAAACAGCAAATCAGAGATAACGGGAGAGAATAACTTGGTTTATATGACAAGGTAGGTTTGGCAGGGATTGTTCAACTCAAAACGAACTGCAACATGTGTCAGGTGAGATATTTTGAATATCCAGTGCTTAACAGGGGTTATCATGTCATGTGAATCAAAGGTTATTTGCATAACTTTGGTTTCTTGTAGGGCTATGCAAGGGTGGTTTAACTCTCCAAGTATCTGCAGTGGACACAGCAACCTTCGCTTTGGTTTGTATATTCAAAATGCTGGTCAGCATGTACCATGTCATGGCCCATCATCAGTTAAATACATAGTAAGTTGACTATGTCACTCATTCTGGCCCACTTGGGTGGAGAATGCATAACCCCTTTGCTAAAAAATGAAGCTGAAATGTTAAGAATCAACTTGCCAATTTTAGTTCTTTAAAAACACACACACTAGATTTCACTGCATTCATAATCAGAAATGTTGGGAAAAAACTGAACTAGATTAGATATTCAAGGCTGGAATGGGTCTATACCTGTGCAATAAACTTAGACTGATTGACATTCAGGATTTTTTAAGCAAAAGTGGGAGAGAAGAATTTTTTGGGAATCACTGAATCAATTTTTTCCAGGCCTAGCATTCATCTGAAAACAATTTTGGAGGATACAAGTATGTGTGGGTGGACCTGGTCCAGCAGGTGGCTTATAAATTTTTAAATGAATTTATAAATGAGTAAAAGGTGGTGGATACTGCAGTGAAAACTATTTCCTTTATTTATTCTATGTTGTATTTAAACGAATCTAGTTTGTTGCAGTGAGTTGCTTTTTTGAGGGGGAGTTTGTTTTATTTTTTGCTTTAAATATGTCATTTCTTTACCAAAGAGAAGTACATGTATCTTTTCAATATATTCATTTGGTGTGCTTACTTGTAAGATTGAATGAAAGAAACCTTCATTAATTTTCATTAAAGGATCAATAATGCCAAGTGCTCTGGAACTAATTCAGTAGAATAAGAGGTCACATTTTGATTTTTGTTGTGCAGAAAGTAGGGAGAAATCAATGGCAAGTAATGAAATGTTAACATCCATCTAAATCTCTAGACAGCATTATGCTCCAGCTATAGAGAATAGCAATTGCTTGTAAAAGAGGCTTGACTGAATATCCAACTGTGTGCTATAAGTAATGCTATAATGATTCAGTGCTGAATTCAGCTATTTACTAGCAGCACCTCTTTTTTGCATCTCATTTTATTATTTTTTTTACATATCAGGTGGTTCTTAAAAGTAACACATGCCAACTATAGCATTTCTGTTGGTTGGCTATATGACAAGCAACCCATGAACATTTTGCAAATGTTAAACTTGGCTTGCATCAAGTGGGTAATGCAATATCATTTTTAAACTTCTTGCCCCAGCAGAGAATGTGGTTATACTGGTACAAAAAATGCACTAGTGTAGAAAAACCACTATTTCATCATCATCGTCATCATCAATTTTAAATATTTATATACTCCCAAAGATCCAAAAATGACTCTTGTCTCCACAGAGCTGTGACAAATTAAATGAAAACCTTAAGTGTTCCCATAGGAAAAGTAAGAGGACAGAAAAAGATGTTCATGGTCAACACAACTCTTGATGAGTGGAAAAGAATTGGAGCTCTAGTAGAATCCCATGGCTACCTCCAAACTTTGATGTAACTTGGAGTCCTCATTGACTTAGCTTGGCCCCTAAAGGTCACCGAGTTCAGACTTTTCCCAGAATTCTCCTGGGAACAATAGCTGCTGATTTAGAGAGAACAGTAGGACACACATTTCTTTACATACTTACCATGTGGGGTGAAATGTACCAAAACCAAAACAAATCTATTTAAAAGTGCTCAACATTCACTTCAAACGGTAATGGACAATCATAATAATGTTCTGGAAACCTAATACTATATATGTGCTTTCAGTAGCTTCTCTTCCTCCCTTCTCATTCACATTATCAGTGATTCTACACACTCATTAACTTAGTGCACTATTGTATGCATGTTTAGACAGGGAAACAAAATCCTACTCTCCCAGCCAACATTCCATTCTGGTCTAACTGTCAAGCATTCCACCCACAAACACTCTCAATCCAATCTCGAGTCTCAGACTGTCCCCGCTTCTCACTTGCTCTCTTTCCCCACAGCTACAACCAAGGTTAGGTTTCTGATTAATTCTTTGTACAATCACATCCCATTGTCAGTAGTGTCCAAATCCTGGCAAGGGAACATATGCAAAAAGAGGTTGGAGCCATTCTCCTTCTCCATACTCCCAAGTTTAGTTTATAGTTTTTAGCTTTTTTAATTTTTAATTTTGTTTTACTTATGGAGTGAGAAAGAAGGACAGAGTTGACAATGAATCCTCAAGGGACACACATTGTTTGGGAGACAAACAAAATGATGTCAGGTTGTGCAGAGAGAAGCACCATGGTCTTCTGTCTCCCTGGTTTTGCATATCAGTTGGGTGTATGAACTGGACTGCGTGATTTTATGGGGTAAATATTATTATTATTATTATTATTATTATTATTACTACTACTACTACTACTACTACTACTACTACTACATTTCTATGCCGCCCCTTGCCGAAGCCTCGGGGCGGCTTACAACACAATAAAATACATTGAAATACAATAGAGCATAATAAATTGCCACTAAATACAAAAATACAGACATCACTAAATGCTGAAGTTGGTAACTGGCTTCTTGACTGTGACTTGTGGTGGAGTTTTCAAGAATGTTGTAAGTGTGTCTGTCAATGCTGCTACAATGGTACTTTTGCTGTTTTTATGGCCAGTGAATTGTCTTCAGATTGATAAAAGGAAATGTTGTTTTCAATGAAAATATATCACACAAATATGAGAATTCTTTGATTTCTTTTCAGTTGGATTGTTTTCAGTTGGTCAAATTTGGATGGTCACTAAGGTAAAAATAACCACAGGGCTTCCCCTCTCTATGTGATGGTTATGTTCCGTGTGATCTAATTATCCTTGTGGTGTTGCTTCCCATATTGTTCAAACCTGTTCAGGGAAATGAACTGGAATGGTGGTGGTGTCTGCAACCCTAAACATTTTCTGGTAAAGTTTAGTGTGGCAGTGAATTTTCCCCTGTGTGGGTTTGGTAGATTGATTAAGATGATCTTTTCCTATAGACCTATGGCACTGAAGCAATACTCTGATGCTTTGGAACTGTTCTGCTTGGCATGATGAACACGCCTCTCCCAGCCCCAATTTCATGATGGAATGTTAAGATGGAAAGAATGGTCAACATGGCTGCTTCCAAGCATCCTCTCAAGGAACCCAGCAAGCTTATAGAGAACTAGACGCAATGAATCTAACAAGACAATGACCACAGCATAGATGGTGTAAGTCTCAGAGTGACTGTGACTCTATAAGAAAGGCCAGAATTCTTGTGCCTACTTTGTGGTTATAAGAGTGGTGAAATACTTTTTTCCCACCAGTGCTTCCTCAGGTAGCTATCCAGAGTCTGTCCCAGTCTGATCCTCAGAAGAATATACTGGAACCCACAGTGACTAACTGTGACAAATTTGATAGACATTTTAAGGATAAAGCCCCTTGGACTCAGCTGATCTAGATACCATCACTCCTGCAGATTCAAAGATGTGCAGAGAACATCTGTTTTATGAGATCATTGCAAGTTGTAATGGTCTTAGAATATGCACAATGTGCTTGGAGAATCCATCCAGCTACCTGTGTAGCTTTCCCTGTCTTGCTTTCTTTGATCAAGCCAAAGGCAATTGTCCAAGTGGGTCAGGAGATGATTGATCTCTTATTAAGAAAGAGAGTTGCCCAACTTGCCCTGAAGCAAGTAATTGAGAGACCAGTTCCTAAGAAAATGCATTGAATCAAGAAGTTTTTAACAACTTTCACTTGGCTACATTTGGGTAAGATGGTAAAGAAGGCAGGGGCAGTCCAGCTGAAGGCAGTTTTAGAGGGAACATTATCTAGATCCATTTCCATCTGGATTTTAGCTTGAATTGCGTATTGGAGTGGCCTCTGTCATCTCTTTTACAAAAGAGGAAAGCCAAGTGTGACACTGTTGATGTTCTTGTTGATTTTCTTGGACTTCTTGGTAGCTTTTGATGCCATTAATCATGACATCTTTCTGGGACAGTTCTGTGGGTTGACCTTAGGGCTGGGATGACATTGTCATGGTAGTTCTCTTTATACCTACAGGGTCAGTTTTAAGAATTTGTAATAAGTGACATTTGAGCTGTGGGGTCCCACATGGTTCCATCCATGCTATCTAATGTTCATTAATATTTATCTGAAGCCAC